TCCTCGCGAGTCCTGGAGACTTGCAGTGACTGCCAGGCAGACGGAAGCCCTCATTACCTGAGGGTCCCGGATAGTGCCGGTGTCACTCTCTGCACCCAGACACTCGGCACAACCTGGTGTCTGTCTTCGGCTGCTCCGCGCCCAGAGCGTGGCGGTGCCCAGTTCTCTTAGAGGCCGCCCGCGGGCGCTCTCCCTCCCGGGGATCTCTACCCTCCCACCCCTCACTCTGCCTGGCTATTCCCGAGTAACAAAATCACAGCAAGGAGAAGACAAACCGGCGACCTAGGCGCTCGCACTGAAAGCTCCGAACGCCAGGCCTGTCCGGATCCCCAGGACACTGTGCGGGGCCCTCGGTGCCCGCGCGCACACACAGGCTCTCCCAGACCCTTTCGCTGCCGAACCTCTCTCTCTCTCTCTCTCTCTCTCTCTCTCTCTCTCTCTCGTAGTTTATCATTAGACCCAGAGCTGCAGCTTGCCCCCGCACTCCGCGCGGGCACAGAGGCCGCCCAGCTGCGGGCCCGGGCCTGCCCCACCTTGGTCCGCGTCGCGGGGGTCCGCGGCCGCGGGGAAGCTTTCCAATCCCTAATTTCCTCCCCGCCCCCTCGGCTGGTTTTCCTCCCTTCCCCTTCTTAAATATGCTCTTGTAAACACTAAGATTCCCCCCGCCCCCCCGACGAGTCCAGGTCTAAGAAGTTAGAGAATTGGGCAAAGCTGAGATTCTTTCAATTTCTTTAAAACCAAAGACAAGACATAGGAAGCTTTATACCATCTCCACAGCAGTGTCAGGGGCAAACCCATCGCCAGATATGACTCTCCCGCTGAAGCCACACCATAAGGGCCCAATTAACAGAATGAACACACTATCTGTTTATGAAAAGCGAACTAATTAAAAGAAAAAACCCGAGAGATCGCCCTTCGACTGCCATCTCGCCCCCCCACTGCCCGTGGAACCTGCCCTCCATCCATCTCTGCCCCTAGAACCGTTCCACTAGGACTTCTGTGCCCACATTTGTCCAAAATTGAGAGCAGCTATGAAAGGGAGGAGAAACAATGTTTCTATTCCTTCCTCCAAACCCAGAGGAATCCCTGCCGGCCTTCCTAGCCCCTTTCCTTCCCTGCCTTCGCTGTCTGAGGTGTGATTTGTTTAGAGAAATCGAGAAGGGACTTGGGGTGGAAGCAAGTTTTTTAAAAATCGGAAGGCGTGAGCTGGAGCGGTGAGTGTGTCAATCAGAGGGTTTGCGCCTGGGGGCTCCTAGCGGTTCTCAGCAGAGGTGTCCCCGGGCGGCCCCGCGATGAATATGAATAGGAATCCTTGCTAAATGGGACAGCAAAGCGCACCGCCCTGAATGATGGCACGTCATCCTAACCAGCCCAGGATAGATAGGAGGGTTTCTTTTGTCTCTTTTCTCCGCCGCAGCTCTATAAAAGCCCCTCTTTTTCCGCGCGAGGTTAGTTCAAGCGCACACCAACTAGCTGTCCAGGGACCTGCCTACCCAGAGAGAGGGGAGTGGGCGGGAGAAAGGAGGGGAAGGCAGTGCCTCAGCTTTTCTTCTCACGTCTTGTCGCTGAGAAGTGGGTTGCTGGGCTGTGCAGATTTTTTTTAAAAAATTCAAGATTTTCTTTAATTTCAAGCCTCCCCGCGGCCGGGACACATCCCCTGTAATAAAATGAATTCTGATTCGAGCTCTGTCTCCAGCAGAGCCTCATCTCCGGACATGGATGAGCTGTATCTGAGGGACCACCATCACCGACACCACCACCACCAGGAGAGCCGTCTCAACTCGGTCTCCTCCACGCAGGGCGACCTGGTGCAGAAGATGCCCGGGGAGAGCCTCTCGCGGGCCGGCGCCAAGGCCGCAGGTGAGAGCAGCAAGTACAAAATCAAGAAGCAGCTGTCGGAGCAGGACCTGCAGCAGTTGCGGCTGAAGATCAACGGGCGAGAGCGCAAGCGGATGCACGACCTGAACCTCGCCATGGACGGGCTGCGCGAGGTCATGCCCTACGCGCACGGGCCCTCGGTGCGGAAGCTCTCCAAGATCGCCACTCTCCTGCTGGCCAGAAACTACATCCTCATGCTCACCAGCTCCCTGGAGGAGATGAAGAGGCTGGTTGGAGAGATCTACGGGGGCCACCACTCCCCCTTC